GGTGGGGGGCGGCCGCCGGGGCAGGCTCAGCCCGAGCGGCGGGGCATGCCGCGCCGGGGAGGCGGCGGCCGGGTGGCGTGGAGCTCGGACACGACGCGGGCCCGAGGTCGCTCCGCCGCTCTCTTACAGCTCCTGGCGTCGCCGCTCTCCAGCGCCCGCGTCAGCGCCCTGCCCAACCCGCCTCACCTTCGCCGCCACCGTCGCTGCTGCTGCTGCCGCCGCGGCCGCTCCACTTCTACAGACTTGATTCTTCGACAGCCTCGCACGGCGCCTGCGCGGGCCCCCTCCCCTCGCGCGCGCGCCCGCCCTCCCGCGCGCGCGCACCCTCCCCCTCGCCCTGAGAGCTGAGGGAACCGCCGGGAGAACCGGCTTCGCGGCGCCCGCCCGCTCGCAGTCAGCGCCGCCGGCCCCGGTGTGACTGCGGTGCAAAGTGGTCGTTCGCTTTTCCTACACTTTCCTTCACTTCGCTCCCCAACTCAGTTCTATCGACTACCTGTCAGGATTTTCTTTCTCACATGTCCTTAAGGGCCAAATCGTGCTAAAAGTAGTGTTTTTTTTTTTTAAAACGCAAGACCACTTTGTAACTTGGTTTTCGTCAATTTGTTGACGATGGGGATTTTAGACCCAGGGCGGTTCCCAGCTTTGCTGTTTTAAGAGGGACACGTGAAAGCCCGCTGTTGGGCACAGGAGCACGAACTCCCTCAGTGGTGCTTTACACTTATATGTCTTGTGAAGGACACATGCCCCGCCTGTCCCTTTTAAGTGTCGTTGACTGGAAGAGCGAACGTTCCCAAGCCTAGGGCCGTGTCCACAAGCCGCCAGCTGGCGTTTTCCACAGGCGCTCTGAAGGGCGGGAGCGCGGTACGAACCAGCAGTTCGCGGACACCGGTCCCCTCAGCGTCCCCCCCGCGCGCCCCCGAGCCCAATCCTCACGGCGCGAGCGGCCCCGGCGCCTTATGTAGGTCCGCGCGGCGGGCGCGTGACGTGGGCGCGGAGCCGCGGGCAGTCGCCGCCGCGAGTGCGCACGCTCCGTGCGGACGTGCCTCAGCGCCGCTGGCACTGGGGCCTCGCTGGACGAACGAACATTCCAGGGATCCGGGGTCTACGGCCAGCGCGGCGCGTCACGGCGCAGGCTCCGCCTCCACGGCGGGTCTGAGGCCCCGCCCCCCGGCCCGAACTTGGACTCGAGGAGGTGGCGGGCGCGGGCGCAAGCCGTGGCGGGGCCTGCTTGCCTCCGCGCGGTGCCTGCGGGCCGTGGGGGCGGTCGGCTGGCTGGCTGGCGGCCGCCGCGCAGGGCGGGCCGCTGGCGGGGGCGGGCCTGCGCCCTTGCCGCCATCCGGGCCGGTCTTAGCCGCGCTGGGTGCAGACCCACCTGGCGGGAAGGTGGGGTGCGGCCGTGGACCGAGCCGGCGGTGGGATGGACGGGCCCTCAGCTGCTGTTGGCACCCAAGGCCTCTGCCCAGACTGAGTTGAACACTTGAGTTTCACACTTTTATCGAGAGGAGGAGCTGGTGTGTGTTATGGTAACTCGCTCTGTGCTGGTCGTTCCTCTCACTGACGAATAGACGCGGCCTCAGTCGCTCTCAGTCGGGACTTTGACACTGCTGTAAGGGCGGCCTCTTGAGCCGCTTTTGTTGGGGAACACAGGCCCACATCTCTCCCCTGAGACTGGAATGAGCTGGTTAAGTGTGGGAAGAACAGGGTACTAATTATATTATCTTTCCTACAACTGGATTGGTAGGTGGAGAGAGAAAAAATCCTGCTGACGTTTTTCTCTAGTTGTTGCTATTTAAAATGCCAGGTTGCTTCAAAGGATTAACCACAAGGAAGAGGAAAAACACCCTTAGAGAAACAGTGGAGGGAGCTGCTTAAAGCACATGAAAAAAAAACCTGTTCAAAAATGGCACAGAAAATGTAATGCCAGACCTAAATGTTTTTACAAGCTAACCTTGAATTTCTTCTCTTGGGGATTTCCAGAGTAGGTGCGTCTGCTTTAAAAGTCTCCCCATCTGTTCCCGGATCTTGCCCTGCAATTGCAATCTTGCCTCACCCTCTTGAAGCTGGGAGAATGGGGGCCTGCCGGGATCTCTCCAGGGAGCAGCTGGTGCCAGCAGGTTTGGTCACTGCTGGCCCCTGCTGTCTGGTATCTCCTTCTGGACCTGTCTTTCTGGTCACTGTCCTTGGAGACCCTGTGATACTCATTCCAGCATGTGACTTCACCCACGGGGCCCCCTGCCCATTGCCCAAAGGAGATAAACCCTGGTCTTTGTGCCGCAGAGAGATGAGCCATCTCGACACCCTCAAGAGATGGCCCCACTAAGTGCCGCCTGAAACATGTTAAAAGAAAACACAACTGGCTATTAGAGCCGTGGCCTAATTATACTCATCTACCTGCAAGCAGGCGCTGTAATACTCAAGGGAGAGCCTGCCACTCCATCCCAAAATAGAATTAGATGTGCACATTCAGCTTTGAGAGATACTACTTAAGGATCTTTGTAGAACAGAGCTTTTCTTCTCCAAAAGAAGAGCATTTCCTTCTTATTTTACACTGCGAATTTAATGTCGAAACTAAGTTGTTGTAACTTCCCTAATGAAATGCCCACTGGAAAATGGAAAGCTATTTTAGTTCTGGGCTTGCGTGCCCTAAAAGGATCTGGGATCAAGGGAGTTAAGGCTGACCCTGCATCCAGGGCAGCAATTCCTTATATTGTATCAAAAGTCTTTCATGCTGCCTGGCCTTTCATGTAGCTCTGAAGCAGCTTTATCGATGTATGCTAAGTAAACATTGCTTTGTTTTTGTCTTCCATCCACCACCCGCCCTCCCGGCACAGACTGGAGTTGGATCCCTTCCAAAGCGGCTGCTGCAGCAGTTACAGCCGCCTCCTCCACACACAGGAGCAGGGTTTCTAGGGTGAGGCAATGCGTCTGCAATTCACAGAGACAAGGCAGGAATTGTAATTGTAGTTCATCATGTGATGACTTATGAAAGAGGAAGTTGGTATGTTTTAGTCACGTAGACTCTGCCCTCTTGCTTAAGGCTCCAGGTCCTCTCAGAAGAGAATTATGATCATCTTTGCAACTCAGAGTCAAGGTTACCGGGTTGGCTGCACTGTGCTCCTACACATTTGTATATGGACAGGCACGCCAAGTGTCTGTGAAGCAGTGGGCTGAGGTTGGCTTTTAACCAGAGTGCTGAAATGTTGCAATTTGTCCTAAGAACTAAAGGGAATATTCTATGGGGAGTACCCCTGCTGAGACTAGACAAACCAACAGTCCTTTCCAGTTCTAATTTCTAAGATTTTTTTAAAAATAAAAATCACTGTTTAGGAGTAAAAGGAAAGCCCTTTAGTATGACTCTATCAAAAAAAGCAGGTATAAGGAAAGTGGCTTTTAAGGCAAACGTAAGGGAGCAATTCCAAGCCATAGCTCGAGGGATAGAATTCTGACCTTCCCACACTGACATATACATGGACTTCCACTGTGTGAGCATTAAACATCTAAAATCTGAATCTGGTCTCCAGAGTTTACTCCAGTCAAGCAGCTCTTGCTAACACAGAGAAGCCCTGTACTGACAGTCTGCAGGACAGTGTAAAGAATCTACTCCTATCAGAGGCCTTGGACAGAACTTTACCCCCAGGACATGTAGCTGCAGGAAGGGTGCAGCCCCATGCCCCCAGCAGTTTGTAGATGCTGTCCAGGAGACAGATGGTATTCCTAGGGACTGCTGAGTTCATGGATTTCAACCTTTATCCAGAGATGGAATCACAGCCTTCATTCTTTAGAGTGCAGCTTCTTTAAATAACATGATGTTGCAGCCATGCTAAAGTTTCTTAAACTCTGACCTTGGTGTATTTGAAGGAGAAAAAAATGCAGCCACGTTTCATTTGGATTTCTGTGGACATCATCACAGGCTCCTTATACTTGGGCAAAAGTGCCAAAAGACTAGAAGAGCACATGTAATATTCAGGGCTTTTCTGCTTAAAAAAAAAGTTAAACATATTTGAGCCCATTTGTTTATATGAATACATCTACACATACTATGTATAAAGCATCATGACATTAATAAACCTTCTGTAATTGATACAAGAGCATTTCTTCTAAGTAATTGCATTTTATGAGAGAATTCCACTGTTTTTCAAATTGCAAATGTTCTGTTTTAGAAATACTTTCCCTCTCTTTGACCTATCCCTGTAGCCTACCTCCCCTGTGCACAGAAAGCGTTCAGATATTAAAGAGACTTTTGCATGTGGAGGAGATAAACTCTCTGTGGAGGGTCTAAGAATCAGGCCAAATAAAATCACAGGAGCTCTTAATCATCTGTATATTATACACAGAAGCTGTTAGTCACCAGCCTATGTGTTAACATATGTACAGGTCCCCATTTAGAGCAAAATTTGGGGTCTTCATGAAGGTTAACTACTTACTGTGTCAGAATTTAAAGAGCTAAGTGAGAAACAGACAAAACAGACAAAGGAGAGATTGAGGTCACACACTTGCTCAGTCTGCAAGGAAATTTGTAGAACTGGAAGGGATTCAACAGCCATTTGATGCCAGAATCCTCCTATTGGCTTTTTGGAAAGAGCAGGGTGAAATGTACTTTTCTAGAATAGTATCTGGATGTGGGT